GGGTCGTGTCGCGGGGCTGCTGGCGTTTGTACAGTGCGACCCTTACTGGTCGAGTTCTCACTCCCAGTGGTTGGTTGGGTCGCGCTTAGTTACGCGCTGTCCCGGGCCGTCCCTCCGGGGATCTGGAGTCCCCGACCCGGTGTCTGGCTGTCCCTCGCCGCCGCTCCTTTTCTTGCTTGACTTGGACGGATCCTTCGAGGCCAGCCGAAAAGACTGACCTGAGCGACATGCGGGAACACCCCTTACTGGTCGAGTTCTCACTCCCAGTGGTTGGTTGGGTCGCGCTTAGTTACGCGCTGTCCCGGGCCGTCCCTCCGGGGATCTGGAGTCCCCGACCCGGTGTCTGGCTGTCCCTCGCCGCCGCTCCTTTTCTTGCTTGACTTGGACGGATCCTTCGAGGCCAGCCGAAAAGACTGACCTGAGCGACATGCGGGAACACCCAACCCACAACCCACAACTGCGGAGCGCACGGGTTCACAAGAACGAGGGTGTGCGCCCCGAAGTGTGGGTTGGTGCCTGCGTGCCCGAAATCCCGAGAGAATGGAGAAGGGATTAGAGCGTGGCCCAAACCCTGGGGGGTGTGCGTGATTTCTCACTTTCTGTCGGTCTCTGTCCAGCGCAGTGCCCTATAGCAAAATTATCTTAAAACAAAAACGCAGGACGTTTCCCACTGATCAGGGGCTCCACCATAAGTCTGTTTTGACACATTTCTGAGCGTTTAACTATTATACAATAAGACCTCCCAAAAATTAGTCCATTCACATGGCCGACCGTGGTTCCAGTCCCAGGCTGGTGGATTGAAACTTGCACCAGACATATGTGCATGTGTGCCCAAGATCCCAGGAGGAAAAGAGATTGGGGTGTGGCCACTCTGGGGTTGGGTGGGGTGGTGGTAATCTCTCACTTTCCCTCTCACTGTCTCTGTCTCTCTTTCTCTCTCTCTCCAGCAAGCACAAGGCAAAAACCTCTTTAAAAAATCAGTCCATTAAAAGACAAAAAAGATACCTAGAAGAAAATTCATACATTTGACCAGTAAGAAATATATTTCTGGGGGCCAGCAGGTGGCCTGGTGGTTAAGGTGCTGAACTCCCACATGGTAGACTGTGGTTGAAGTCCCATACCTGGTGGTCTGGCTTTCTCACTTTCCCTCTATCTCGGTCTCTCTCTGGTGAGTGCATATGCCTATAGCCAATTATAATAATAATAAATGAAATTAAATAATTGTATATACATATATATACACACTTCTGGGGCTAGCAGGTGGTGTGGAGGTTGGAGTACTGGATCCCACATCACAGACATTGAGGACTGAGTGGACCTGGGGCTTGAAAATCACACAGAGCATGTGAGTGTGCCCAGAATATAAACTTCAGTGCGTATATTAGAAAAGAATGATGGGGACCAGCAGTTGGCATAATGGCTATGTCACTGTAGTCGACTGTGGTTTGAGTCTCGAACTCAGTGACTTAAAGTCACGCCGGGTGCGTGCGTGCCCAAGATCCCGAGAGGAGAATGGAGGAGAAGGAATTGCGGCATGGCCATCCCCCCAGTGGGTGATTTCTCGCTTTCTGTCTCTCTGTCTTTCTGGTGAGCACATGCACCCTGTAGCAAAAACCTCTCCAAAAATAAATAAATAAATAAATGATGATGGTTAAACATTAAGGAGCTTGGGGCCAGCAGGCGATGTAGTGGTTACGGCGTTAGACTCACACATGGTTGACTGTAGTTTGAATCCCAGATCCGGTGGCTCAAAATTCATGCCAGGTGCATGTGTGTGCCCAGAATCCTGAGAGGAGAAGGGGTTGTGGCATGGCCATTCACTCTGGGAGGTGGTTTCTCTCTCTCTCTGTGAGTGTGTGTCTCTGGTGAGGGCACGCACCCTATAGGAAAAATCTCTCTTAAAAAATAAAAAATATGGGGACCAGCAGGTGGCATGGCAGGTGGTTAAGGCGCTGGACACTCCCACATGGCCGACCAGGGTTCGAGTCCTGAACCTGGTGGCTTGCTTTCTCACTTCCTCTCTCTCTCACTCTCACCCTCTGTCTCTCTCTGGTCAAATAAAAAAAATAAGTGAATGAATAAATAAAAATACAATAAATAATTATTAAAAAAAATAAATAAAAAAATACTGAGATCATGCAAAGAATGTTTTCTGGTCCCAATGGAATTAAACTGAAATCAGTAACAAAAACACATCCAGAAAATGCCCCGGAAAGGGAGAGGCACCGGCCATGATGGGACTGGGGAGAAGGTGCCGGGCCAGGGCGAGGAGTTCCAGGGCAGTGCTTGCAGAAAGTGCCAGCAGGGGGCGCTGCGCTGAGTGCAGGCAGCAATGGTCGTGGGGTGCGTGGACGTCAGCGTGCGCTCCTCCAGCCCGAGCCGGAGCCCGCAGGGGCCCACTCAGACTGGACTGGTGGGCTCTGAGCAGAAGTCCCCAGTGATGGGACGGCGGGGGCTGGGCGCCCACCTCCACTGCCCCTGGTGGGCCCATGTCTGCCCTGCCAGCCTGTGGAAGCTGGACACTCCAGAGGGGATGCTCTGGCCACAGGAGGCTGGACTTCCTGGAATCGTGGCAAGTGAGGCATAAGACCCACAGGCCAGGATGCATCTGACCTTGACCCCAAGCTAGGACCTGTGGGGCAGTTTCTGCCTTGGGCACCCTGGCATGCCCATTTCACACTGGAGGACACTGAGCCTAGTGCCCCCCGCCGACGGCTGTTCTCCTAGGGTCAGCACCAGCACAGGCCAAGGCTAGAAGAGGCCAGACCTCGGGCAGCCTTGGAGGGCCGAGTCTCAGGGGGCTGTTCTATGAGCTTCTGCTGTCCCGGCTCCTCCATTCTCGCCGCGGGCCCAGAGGATGCTGCAGTTGGACCTTTGGCTTCTCCAGCTAGTGGGAGCTGAGAAGCCTGTGATGGCCAGTGCAGGCGCGGTGTCCACTGCTAGGGGACATCTGCAAGGTTTGGGGCAGCCTCATGGCATCAGGGGAAACCTGGGGTGTGCTGCAGGGCAGGAGGGGCTCGGGGCAAGGGCAGGGCTGAGCTCTGCAGACACAGCGCTCTCTGGGACCCCAGGCCTTCCCAGGGCAGGCAGCCTGGGCTGGCAGGCTCTGCTGCCCCCACACAGGTCACTGCTCTCCTGACTCGACGACAGTCCAGGGTCTCCCAGGCTTTGCCTGGGGCAGGTACTTGAAAAGTGTGTTCTGGATGGGTGGACGAGCAGATGGGACGGACACAGGAATGGTGGAAGGAGGAACAGAGGGAGGGCACGACGGAAGGAGGGACGGACCAAGGGATAGATGGACGAAGGGAGGGATGGAGGGAGAGGTGGACGGAGAGGTGGGTGGAGGAGGATGTACTGGGAGGAGGGACGGGTGGATGAATTCATGCTGGACGTTGTACGGGCCCCTGGCAGGACAGGAAGCCAGTGAGACCACAGGCAGGCCTACAGGAGGCCATCCCACATCCAGGTGGACATCTGAGGGTCTCCAAGCAAGGTGCAAAGGGCACAGAGGATGGTCCCTGCAGGAAGAGACGGCCCGCTGAGTGTTAGGAGACGTGCGTCCACCGTGTATGTGGGCCAGGCGTCCAGGGTCCAGCCGGGCAAAGCCAGAAACGGTTGGGTGTCGGCTGGCAAGCAGTTCTCGATTGAGAGGCCTGAAGTACTAGGGCTTCAGATGGGGCTGGGGAGTGGTATGAGTTAGATGGGGGCAGTGAGGGACGTGGCCTTGAGACTGGTGCCCAGGAGGGGCAGGCCAGGGCCCGGTTTAGAATACAGCAGCCCTGGGGGCTGGACTCCTGTGCCACACAGCCTGCCCACTGCCTCCGGCGGTCTCGCTGTGTTCAGAGCCGTGCAGCCCTCGTCCCGTCCACTTTAGAACCCTCATCCCTCCCCAGAGCAGCCCTGTGCTCCTTAGTGGTTGCCCTTCCCCAGCCCCTGGTGACCACTACTCTGCTTTTTGTCTCTGGTCTGCCTCTTCCGGACCTTTCCTTCGCATAAGGTCATGCGGCATGGCCTGTGTCTGGCTTCTCTCCCCCAGCAGAATGTTTGCAGCATGAACTGGAACTTCGCCCATGTTCAAGGCTGAGCAGTATTCCACGCGAGCACAGAACTGTGACTTTCTGATGCACATCTGGGCGGTTCTGGCTCTGGGCCCCACAAGCAGTGTTGCCGTATATGTGGCAGATTTCATGTGGCATGGGGTGGGCACTGAGCAGTAGGGGCACGTGCAGGTTTTGGGGTCACTCTTCCTGCAGGGAGGGGCGGTGTCGTCTGCAGGTGTCAGGTGGAGAAGGGAGACAGGAGGGCTCAGTCATACCTGGGGGAAGTACGGCCCACGCCCTCTCCCAACCCCATGCATGTGTGTGCACGCATGCTCGCTCGCCCGCACATACACACACACTCGCACGTTCATGCAGCCGGCAGCCTCCAGAGCCGGCTTTTGCCGAGTCTCCCGGACGTGCCCGATTCTGAGCTGGAGAGGCAACCTCCTGAGTGACAGTCCTCGGGGAGCCCTTCACTGGCGTAG